TTCCCCTCCTTCTGCCCCTTCCTCTCCCCTTCTTTCTTTTTCTTTATTGAGCTAATAATTTAAATACATAGAATGCATCCATTTAGGAGATTTGGCAAATGGATACATCTGTGTACCTTCTGACCCAGTTAAGACAGAACATTTCCATTGCTCTGAAAGTTCCTTGCTCCCTCCGCACCCCCCCTCAACAACTGGCAAGCAAAGATCTGTCACTGTAGATTAGTTTTGCTTTGTTTTGAAATTCCTATACATAGATATACATTAGTGTGTGCCCCTTTGCATCTGACTTTTGCTCAGCATAATGTTTTTGTGATTCATCTCTGTTACATATATCAGTTTCTTTCCTTTTTATTGCCAAGTAGTTTTCCACTGAATGTCAATGCCACACAGTGAGGTTTTGATGTCCTGTAGGAGATGTGTGACAGAGAAATCTAGGCACGAGGTATGTGTGGTCTTTTTGTAGTTCCCCCTTCCTCCCCAACTTTTAGCAGCAATTGAGCAAGGCACAGAGGGTGAGCAGATGAGTAAGCAAACCAGTTTTGGGGCCAGTCTTCTTTTCATCAAAGTCATGAGTCCTGCTAGTCCTTGAATAGCTTGGCTTCTCAGAACACCTCTATTCTGGTTACCCCTGGCTGTGGCAGCTTATAGGATCTTGGTGGTTGCCTTCCTGCAGATGGGGAGATCAGAATTCCTAATGGTAAAGGCTTGTAATCAGAGGGCTCCTCTTGGACTTTTAACGCCCGCCATCCCTGCTAGTGATGGGCCCCCTGGCTCAGTGTTTGAGCTGTGCCAAGTCCAGGGACCCTGATGCCTAGGAACTGTGGAACCTGCCCAGTGCCAGAACTGCCTATCTTGTACAGAATCTTGTACAGAACTGCCTGCCACCGAGGTATCTGCTTTGCCCTTGCCCCTCTCCTGGCTCAGCTGTTAGTTTCAGCCCACTGTGGAAAGTTTGAAGTGCAGAACTGCAATCTGCAGTATTTTATTAACAACCCAGTTTCTGTGTTCCCATAACCACTTTAAGAATCACCTTGTGAGAGAGAGTGGCTTTGCTTAGGGCTGGGGGCATAGAAGGATGGTAGCTAAAGAGTGCAGTGTTTCTTTTAGAGGTGATGAAAATATGATTAAATTGACTGTGGTGATGGTTGCACATATTTGTGAATGTACTAAATACCATTGAATTGTACACTTTATTTTATTTTATTTTTTTGAGTTGGAGTCTCACTCTGTCACCCATACTGGAGTGCAGTGGCCGCTCCCGGCCACCGCAGCCTCGACCTGCTGGGCTCCAGCGATCCTTCTGCCTCAGCCTTCCAAGTAGCTGGAACTATAGGCGCATGCTACCACGCCTGGTTAATTTTTTATTTATTGTAGAGATGAGGTCTCACCAAGTTGCCCAGGCGGGTCTCGAACCCGTGGGCTCAGGCAATCCACTCACCTCAGCCTCCCAAAGTGCTGGGATTACACGCTGAGCTACCAAGCCCAGCTCGAATTGTACACTTTAAGTGGGTGAATTGTATGGACTGTGAATATTATATCTCAATAAAGCTTTTTTTTTTTTTTTTTGAGTTGGAGTCTAACTCGGTCACCCAGACTGGAGTGCAGTGGCCATTCCCGGCCACTGCAGTCTCGACCTGCTGGGCTCCAGTGATCCTTCCGCCTCAGCCTTCCAAGTAGCTGGAACTACAGGCGTGCACTACCACACCCGACTAATTTTTTTTTTATTGTAGAGATGAGGTCTCGCCAAGTTGCCCAGGCAGGTCTCGAACCCACGGGCTCAGGCAGTTCACTTACCTCGGCCTCCCAAAGTGCTGGGATTACAGGCTGAGCCACCGAGCCAGCCAAGCTTTTTAATAAAAGGTATATGTATTAGAGCAAGGACAGCTTATAGAGAACTAGAGAAAAAATTATGTTTTAGAAATTTTCTTTCCAAATGACATGACCTAATTTTTCTCACAGGTCAAGTTTTGTGGGAGGCATGCGTATGGTAGAAAGAGAATGGGCTTTGAAAGGATCAGGTAGACCTGAGTTTGAATCCTGTTCTACCATTATTACCTGGGTGACCTTGGATAGGCTGTTAACTCTGTCTGTTGTAGTTTCCCTTCCCGTAAAATGGGCTTAGTAGTACAATGGCAGCCATTTTCACTATATGACCGTCATATAACACAAGACCTCAGATACAGGAAGCAGCCTAGTTAGATCTGGCCTGATGTCTTTGAGTGATACTAGGCTAATGAACTTGCTTGCTTGGCTCGCTTCTGGGAAAATCCCCATGTGGCATGCTTCTGTGCCTGTAGTGTGCAGTCACTGGAGGAGATCTGAGCTGATGGATGTTGCTGGTCTTTAGCCAACTTGGTGTACTCTGTTTCTGATTTTTTTCTGCCTTAACCCACAGGGTTTGAGTAGCCTGGTGGCAAGCTCTTAGACCAACGTGGCCGGGCTCGGTGGCTCAGCCTGTAATCCCAGCACTTTGGGAGGCCGAGGTAAGTGGATTGCCCGAGTTTGCGAGTTTGAGACCAACCCAGGCAGCTTGGCGAGACTTTGTCTCTACAATAAATAAAAAAAATTAGCCGGGCACAGTAGCATGCTCCTGTAGTTCCGACTGTTTGGAAGGCTGAGGCAGAAGGATCGCCTGAGCGTGCCACTGTACTCCAACCTGGACGACAGAGTGAGACTCCAACTCAAAAATAAAAAAGATCAACTCATGTCCTCTCCTTTGAGAAGCCTTTCCTGACCCCACTCTCTACTCTGGGTCATTGCTCCCCTCGGTGTCCCTCAGCCCTTAGGACACACTGAATTTTTGCCTTTATCTATGCCATTTTTATTTATTCATGTATCTGCACTGCCTGTACATTGTGGGGCAATTCAAGGTAGAGAGGCCCTAAGGCCGTAATCATTGTGCCTGGCACTAATGTTTGTTGAAAGAATGCCCAATGGTTTCAAGTCTTCGGTGACAGAAACCAGATCAGAACTGGAAATTCCAGCTTAGGCACTGCATGCCAGAGGTTAGCAGACAAGCTTCCCTGGAGCCGTATTTCTGTTCCAGCACCACCTCAGGGGACTGTACCACTGGCCCAGGACAGGAGAGCTGCCTGAACCAGTGTTGCCCTCTGTCAGAGTCTACTTTTTCTGCCTGGAGTTCATTGGTGAGGTGTGGCCCACATTATGGGCAGGGAGAGAGTGCCCCAGCCATACTGGAAATCATTACTTTTTAGTCCTACTTCTGTCTGCACTCTTAGTTCAAATTTGGTTTTCTTTTTCTCTACCCCACTGGCACTCTGGCATTGTGGAGTGGGACCTAGGAGGCCTCCCCCTGCCTGAGGTGTCCAGGGGGCCTGAGGAGATGTGGGGGCCACCACATGGCCTGGGCTGGAGGATGGCTGCTGCAGGCACCAGGATGGCCTTCCCCTGGCCCTATCCCTACCCTTTACCCCACTTCAACCTTGGCCTTTGTCCTTAACCCCAATCCTTGTTCTAGCCTGAGCCCTCTTCTCCTTTCCCATATTAAATTTTTTACTAACCAACAATTGTATCCAAGACTCAGTCTGAACCTTCAGGGAAGGCAAGATGGAGGATGATTGTGGTACAACCGGAACTCTGGATGCTGACTGCCCGGTTCAAATCCTGTCTCCCCCTGTACTAACTATGGGACATGGGGCAAGGGTCTCAGTTATCTCGCCTGGGAAATGGAGATAACAGTACTTACCCCCATAGAGTTCTTTTCATGATTAACCAGAAATTAAGTAAGCACTGTAAGTGTTTATTAAGTAGCCTGTGTTTGTTGGATTAAAAACAAAAAAAGAGTGAGAGAATGAGACTCTTAAAATAAAAAATAAAGAGAAAACCAAGAGTTCTAAGTAGTGCTCTGGGACAAAAAAAGAGTTTTCTGCTATCCTGGCTTGATGAAGAGGACAGCTAGACCATCGCTTCACCAGAACTCAGGCTTATTCTTTCTTAGTATGTACTTGTAGGTGGGATGACCTGGTACTCCAGCATGTATCCCTCTGTGACAGTACAGTTGGTTTTTAAGCTGTGTTGCATTGACTTCTCTGCTTTTTGGGGGAGTGGGAGCTTTGTGGGAAAGAGTGGCAAAATAATTTTTCAAGTAGTGTAATTATTGTCATATGTCAAGTAATAGTCTCATGCTGTGTTGTCTTTGCTTTATTATTGGTGTTTGTCCATTAAGGAATTTCTTAACCCAAGATTTTGGAAAGAGATTTTTAACCTGTTTTGTTTGTGTTAAAAGGTGAGATTAGATGACTGTTTTTAACTTAACATTTTTGAGAGAATATGAGTAAGAAAAACACTTGTAATTAATGTAATCCACTTAACATAGTCTCCCCTTGCAAAATTGCAATTTTTTTGTTGCTTACATTTTCTCCCATTGCTGCATATTCCTCTTGAGGTCATATTGCACAAAATAGACAGTCATGCTGCTGAGAGACTGGGGTTCCCAGTCCTGTCTTCCACATGAGGTTTCCTGTTCATGTTTCACTGACAAGCTTTGTCTTGGTTTATGCAGCCACAGGAAGAAATTGAGTACATGTAGGGACAATGTAAGATTATCCTGTGCAAGTAAGTTCCTGTCATGTTAACTGTGGCACCTGGCTCCTTAGATACAAAGCATGTCTTTTTTCTCTTATGAGCAGAAAGATCCCAAATACAAGGAGAGATTAAAAGACTATCATGTACGGTGTAAGTTAGTTTATATACAGGTTGTTGTTTTTTTTTTTGTTGGGGGAGGGATTTGTTGTATGAATTTTATTCTCAGGCCCTTTCTCCCTGATTTTCCATGGAAATGCCGAGGTTTCTGTTTGGCCACTTTCTGAAAAGCAAGCTCTTCTGTAGTGGCCACAACAGGCAGGAGCGTGCAGCCTAGAAACCTGGCTGTACAGTGAATGCAGCAGTGTAGAGGAATGACCTTATCTTGGCAGCCAACAGGAAATGATGAAATGTGCTAGGAGAATTCAGCTGGGAGACGGAGGTCAGACATACCAGCAGGGTCGGAAAGAGGCAGGTACGGAAGCTAATCTACAAAGTTGCAGGCGTTTGACAGAAAAACGTGAGTGTGCTATTTAAGACTTGCATTTCCGTTAAGGTAGACATTTTTGAAAGTAGAATTTTCATTGATTTTTTTTTTTCTGAGTGATTTAACAGAAATCTCACCTTCTAAGCAAGCACACCTAGTTTTACAGCACTCTTGATGGAAATGTTCAACTAGTTCCATATTAACCAAACAGTGTGGAATGTTTTATCCAGAGTGCTTCGAGAGAATGTCAGAGTAAGTGTTTGATTTTCTTGGTGAATAGATTTTGACTTAAACAAATGAAGGATTGTGCGTTATAATTTTTTACTCTGGTTTTGGAACATATGTGCATGCTTCCTTTCAAAATAGGTAAAATAACTTTGAAACTTTGCTTTGGTATGTTTTAGACTTGCCTAACATACTTCTAGCTGTAATTTTTTCTTACCAAGTAGCTAAATGAGTTACTCGAGTTAACTCTTAATATTTTTCCCCCCTACCTTAAGGCATCATGTTTATTACGTGCTGCCATTTTCTTTCTCAACAGCCAAATCTAATTTACAAACACATAAATGGGACTTGTGAGAGGAAATGAGCAAATTAGCTTTTCCAGTTGTTTGTAATTTGTTTCACAACTGGCTACTGCAGACTCTTCAGGCCCCCTCCTCATCCTTCTCCTGAGTCAGTTCTTTCTCGTTTCTCTTCTCAGCTGGACTCTGTTCCCTTGTTTTCTTCTGAGGGCTGTCATCAGATACTTTCTTTATATTTTTATTGCATGGTGAAGTGTAAAAGTTATATTGTTGTAATAACCGAGCAGGCTTACATACATATTTAATTGTTTTTTTTATCTTGAAAGTCACATTCCAGAATTGAAAAACTATGGCTCCCCCTTTATTTATGCAGTAATGTAATTCTAATTAGGTTTTTTTTAATCCTGATAATTAAGTGATCCATCACTAAGTGAATTATACTTATTGGATTACCTATTGCTGTAAACATTAAAAAGGCAGTGTTCTCTTTCTGTTCTCCAGAAAATGCCATGGCATTGCAGCCTGCTACATAGAGAAACTTATGTTCTTGTCATGTGTTACCTGCTGTGATTTGTGTATTTTTTTTTTTTTTTGAGTTGGAGTCTCACTCTGTCACCCAGACTAGAGTGCAGTGGCTGCTCCCGGCCACCGCAGCCTCGTCCTGCTGGGCTCCGGCGATCCTTCCCCCTCAGCCTTCCAAGTAGCCGGAACTACAGGCACGCGCTACCACGCCCGGCTGATTTTTTGATTTATTGTAGAGATGAGGTCTCGCCAAGTTGTCCGGGTGGGTCTCAAACCCGCGGGCTCTGGCAATCCACTCACCTCAGCCTCCCAAGGCACAGGATTACAGGCTGAGCCACCGAGCCCGGCTGATTTGTGTATTTTTAACACTTTAGGTTGCATAGGAGAGATTTCTAGAAACCCCCAATGTATGTAGTATGTCTTTTTGACCCTAATCAGGTCTACCACTTTTGTCTTTGCTCTTATAGCTGTGAATGTCTCTTTCTTCAAATCTCTTCCTTCTTGACAACAAAACATTTTACTTAATTCTAGATTAACTTTAAATGCTGCATATATGAAAGTAATATGGAAGTTTTATAACTTCAAACCAAAGCCTGTCTTGTAGATATGAGATTTATGCCAGTGAGTGAAAATAAGTATTCCTTCTTTTCTCCTTTGACTTTTTTGCCCACCCACACAATTCTTTTATTCATTTGGTGGCATCACTTAAAGGGTAAGAACGTGATATTTAGAGTTGTAATGGCTTTGGAGTTAATATGTGAGGCCCTCTCACTTTAAGAAAGTAATTGAAACCCAGAGAGATGACTTGCCCAAGGTCACATAGCTTGTTGGTAGCCAAGTGAGTCTGGAACCCAGTCATCCTGACATCTGGGTCATCATTACCTTTTCCATTACAGTAATCTGCTTTCTCCACATTATCTCAGGATTAATAGTACTTGGCTAAGAGTGACTTTTTTTTTTCCTTCTGATGAGTCCATTTTAATTTTATTCAATAACAATTTCCCTGTAAGTACCATTTGGCATAGATATGCAGTGAATTCCATCAAATACTAAGACTATTGACATTTCTCTCTCTTAGAGATAATTTTCCTTAAATATAAAGAGTTCTCCATTTTATAAAGCTTTTCTTGTCTCTTCCCTGAGCTAGGTCTTACTTAATTGTTGTTGATTTATATCAGTTTCCTGATAGGATTATATGCTAGATGAGAATGCCAAACTTTGCAAAATCACAACTAATAAAAGAAACAGACAGGTACTCAATTCTTCATTTAAAAAGGATTCTTTAGGATGTGAAAGGGAAACTGAATATTTCAGTCCCTACTTTTCAGCATTTCTGCTTTTCAGCCCTACTAAGGGAAAACTGACAACTCTAAGTCTTGAACAGTACTGAACAGGTTTTGGAATGTGAAATACTTTAAAATAATGCATTATTAATGTAAAAAAAAAGGTGAAAATGATTTAAGTCATGAACTGGAATTTACTCACAACTTTCCAGAATTATTAAAAATAGTCTGCTAAAAATTGAATTTGAATCCTCTGAAATTCAGGTGTGGGAATTAGATGTAAAAAGTACACTGAGATCAGTGGGTGACTGTTCTTGGACTTCAATGTAGCTCCCACTGTCTGTGCAAAATCACTTTAAAATGCCCTAGGAAGGGAGGTTTGTAGAATAGCACTTATATATATTTTCTAAGGCATTTATGGTATATGCCTTGAAGAATTTCTGAAACAAGCACCTCTAGGAAAACATGCATCTCCACATATATGTTAATTGTACTTGAAATTAAATTTAATGGCTTTATACCTTTTTTTTTTTTTTTTTTTTAGTTGGAGTCTCACTCTGTCGCCCAGACTGGAGTGCAATGGCCGCTTCCGGCCACCACAGCCTCAACCTGCTGGGCTCCGGCGATCCTTCCACCTCAGCCTTCCAAGTAGCTGGAATTACAGGCATGCGCTACACCCGGCTGATTTTTTGATTTATTGTAGAGATGAGGTCTCGCCTGCCCAGGTGGGTCTCGAACCCGTGGGCTCAGGCAATCCACTTACCTCAGCCTCCCAAAGGCGTGGGATTACAGGCTGAGCTACTGAGCCCGGCGCTATTTTGATTTATAAAACCAAGAATGAAATAGGGTACATGAGCGATATGCAGCAGGTCAGAACCATGTCCTCCCTCCTGGCATTCTAATGGGTACATTTTGTCAGTGTCCTTGAAGAAGCAGCTGCTGTCATTTGGTGAGCCAGATGACAACATCCTGGGTCTAAAGGAAAAGGATGCAAGACCAGAAGCCGAAGTGTCTTAGTTGACTTCTCCCATAATTTAGCTACCGTTCTTTCCCAGTTATCATTTTATTCTTTCTACTGTATTTTCAGTATAGAATATTCCAACTAGTTTCCTTTTCTTGGTATATAATTGACGCCCTTATCTTCTGTCCCAGTCAGTGAATAATATTCCCTTCCCTCTGTGGCTCCCTAATTCTGCTCACGTTAGTATCAATTCTATTATGCCTGAGAGATTTAAAGATGTGAAGGGGATACCGGGATGCTCAGTGCTGGTTTTGCTGCAGATGGAGGAGGGGCTAAAGGGCAGCCTCTGGTGCTGTTGTTGACCCAGAAATCTCTGAGAATTTGTGCTATTGGCATTGATGGGCTTTTGGTATTTGGGCTGTCTTCATGTTCATCTCTGTTCAGGATTTCTTTCCAGACCAGGTTCCAGTGGTGCCCTCAAAACCCACTCTTAAACTATGAAAAACTTCACCCAGTATCCTAGTCTTTAGAGCTGGTTAAGGAGAACTGTGTGTGGGGGGGGGGGGAGGGAGAGAGGGAGGGAGGGAGAGAGGGAGAGAGCGCGCTAGCAAGAGAGATTGGTAAGATGGTAATAAAAGACAGGGGTATCGATTTGAATGAATCAGTGAATGGGTAAATGAGTGAATTTCAGTGTTATTTTTGTAGAGATTACTTTTGAAGGGGTTATAGTTAACGTTTCACTGGGCTATCTAAATACATTTGCACATTATAGTTCTGCCTTGGTGACAAGTGACAGTCTAGGTGTCTACTTGACGTCTCCTCCAGCCTTGGAACTCTGGCCTAAATTTTTTCTTCATTAGACTGTATCATATATGAATTATAAGACATGAATCTTTATAAAGCATATTGTTTTATTTTTGGAAAATTAAAGAATATAATGGGATTGAATTTTTTTTTTTTTTTTTTGAGTTGGAGTCTCACTCTGTCGCCCAGACTGGGGTGCAGTGGCTGCTTCCGGCCACCACAGCCTCGATCTGCTGGGCTCTGGTGATCCTTCCGCCTCAGCCTTCCAAGTAGCTGGAATTACAGACATGTGCTACCATGCCCGGCTGATTTTTTTGATTTATTGTAGAGATGAGGTCTCGCTGCCCAGGCGGGTCTCGAACCCGCGGGCTCAGGCAATCCACTCACCTCAGCCTCCCAGGGATTGGAATTTTGTTAATGTGAAGCCTGTGCTATGAATTTCATACTCAGTCTTGTTTCCCATCCGGATTTGTTCTACAGTGGAGTCTTTGAAAGAGATCAGGGAAGAGTGAATTTTCTGAAAAATACTTACTTAACAAGATGCAGGCCATTACATTGAGCTTACCAATTTGGAATTTTCTCTTTGATTCTTAAGTTCCTAACATGTATTGGTAGTGCTAGTTTAATACGATAAGTGAGGCACAGGGTAATTTAGGGGACAACAAAGAGATTTCTTTATAGTTCTTTTCTGGTATGAACTGACATAAATTAAAAATAGCACAGGGCTTAGTGGACTGATTACCAGTGTCTATTAACTTGGAAAGCTGAAACATTTTGTTACTTTCCCACCTATGGGGATTTTCAGCTTCAGTTCACATGGTCAGTCAGATCCTATCCTTACCGCACAGGAAGACTGGTATACAGCAAGATCATGAGGCCATGAAGAAAAGCATCAGGATCACATTGGGATGAGAAATCTTTGCATATTTAACTTTGAACTCTAAGATGCTAAATTTATTCTTATGAGCATCCATC